AAAAAAAACAAGGATAAATACATATATTTACATCAATTTCTAATCGAAACAATTAAATATGACTATTTTCTAATCGATTTCGATGATTATCTCGACTCCTCCCGTTCCCAATCGACATGGTGCTCATATTTGACTCATCAGACGTCGTAAAAACGTTATTATCATACCCATTCGTTTCCTTAACGTTTGTGTCCTGCTTAATTGGCCCATCCATAAAGAACAAAGTGAAAAAGAACAAAATCGAGCTTATCCCGTAAGCTCCGGCGTAAAAAATATACAAACTCTCCCTATACCCCACGTCTTTCGCGACTGGATCCACCAAAATCGGTAAATTCCCCCCAATATTATTCATAACGAACAAAAATAACCCAACGGTTGTTGATCTGACTTGCAACGGAACGATTTCGACCAAAATTGCGAATAAAATTCCAAACCACATCTCGGCGAAGAAATAAGATATCCCCAAAGTGATCATGGCCCAAGTGGGGTTAAAATAAACGCTTCCAAACGCGAAAGGAGTCGAAATTAATTGACTTATCGATAAAACTGCAACTCTCGATCTAATTCCCATTTTCGCGACGATTTTGTCGGAAACAACGCCCCCTATAACGATCCCAACTCCACCGATGACGATGGTTACGCCGAATAACCACCATCCTAAATCGTAATCGGGGAAATAAGTTTCGTAGTATAAATCGCAATTGTAAGCGAAACACATTCCGCCACAATGACGAATTGACGCTGCGATGCATAACATTACAACGCGCGGTTCGAAGATGACCTTCCAAATTGAGACTTTTTTTTTGTCGCCGGTTGCGTCTTCTCCGATGCTTTTGCGTTCGGGTTCTTTTAATGTTAGTCCGGTTAGTACGGCCATTATTAGTGCGATTACGCCGGCTCCGTAATAGGTTATGCGCCAGCCTAGATCCCAAATGTTCAAATGGGGGATGTACCTTCCGACGGGGAAGGCGATTCCGTAACCTCCGTAAATTCCCCAGTTGAAAAGGGACATGACGAGAGCTCGTTTTTCTTCGGGGAAGATGTCCGATAAGATCCCAGTTGCTAAAGGGTTACATCCAGATTCGCTAAAACGAAAAAAAGACGATAAAAGTTCGTTTTTAAGGTTAAAGTGACAGTTCAAGTTTGACAAGTGACATATTAAAAATACAGATTACTGTTTCTCAACTAAATTATGACGTATTTCCCTTAAAAGAAACCATCTTAAAAGTTAAAAAAACATTTTGTATTTTGAAATTGACTTTTTATGTTTTGAAATGTCAGTTCAAGTTTGACAAATGACATATTAAAAATATAGATTACTGTTTCTCAACTAAATTATGACGTATTTCCCTTAAAAGAAACCATCTTAAAAGTTAAAAAAACATTTTGTATTTTGAAATTGACTTTTTATGTTTTGAAATGTCAGTTCAAGTTTGACAAGTGACATATTAAAATACAGATTACTGTTTGTCAACCTAATTATAACGTATTTCGTTTAAAAGAAATGAAAAAACGATAAAATTCATTTAATTTGACTCTTTAAGTTCTAAAATGACAGTTCTAATTTGACAAGTGACATATTAAAATACAGATTACTTAATTATGACGTATTTCCCTTAAAAGAAGCCATGTTAAATGTTGAAAAGACATTTTGTACTTTGAAATTGATTTTTTATGTTTTGAAATGACAGTTCAAGTTTGACAAGTGACGTTTTAAATTGAAAAATTGTATTTGTCAACTTAATAACGACGAATTTTACTAAAAATTAACATATCAAACGATAAAATTCATTTAATTTGACCGTTTAAGTTCTGAAATGACAGTAAAAACGATAAAAATTTGTTTTTATGGTTAAAGTGACAGTTCTAGTTTGACAAGTGACATATTAAAGTATAAATTGATGTTTGTCAAGTTAATTATAACGAATTTTACTAAAAATTAACATGTCAAACGATAAAATACTTTTAAATTGACTTTTTAGGTTATAAAATGACAGTTCTAGTTTGACAAGTGACATATTAAAGTATAAATTGATGTTTGTCAAGTTAATTATGACGAATTATACTAAAAATTAACATATCATACGATAAAATACCTTTAAATTGACTTTTTAAGTTCTAAAATGACAGTTCTAGTTTGACAAGTGACATATTAAAGTGTAAATTGATGTTTGTCAAATTAATTATGACGAATTATACTAAAAATTAACATGTCAAACGATAAAATACTTTTAATTTAATATTTTAAGTTCTGAAATGACAGTAAAAACGAGAAAAAATAGTTTTTAAGGTTAAAGTGACAGTTCAAGTTTGACAAGTGCCATATTAAAATACAGATTACTGTTTGTCAACTTAATTATGACGTATTTTGTTTAAAAGAAACTGTGTTAAACGTTAAAATGACATTTTCTACTTTTAACTTTACTTTTTGTTTTGAAATGACAGTTCAAGTTTGACAAGTGACGTTTTAAATTGAAAAATTGTATTTGTCAACTTAATTACGACGAATTTTACAAAAAATTAACATGTCATACGATAAAATTCTTTTAATTTGTCTCTTTAAGTTCTAAAATGACAGTTCTAATTTGACAAGTGACATATTAAAATACAAATCGCTGTTTGTCAACGTAATTATGTCGTATATCTCTTAAAAGAAGTCACCTTAAATGTTAAAAAGACATTTTGTATTTTGAAATTGATTTTTTATGTTTTAAAATGACAGTTCAAAAATTGACAAGTGACGTTTTAAATTGAAAAATTGTATTTGTCAACTTAATAACGACGAATTTTAATAAAAATTAACATATCAAACGATAAAATTCATTTAATTTGACTGTTTAAGTTCTGAAACGACAGTAAAAACGATAAAAATTTGTTTTTAAGGTTAAAGTGACAGTTCAAGTTTGACAAGTGACATATTAAAATACAGATTACTGTTTCTCAACTAAATTATGACGTATTTCGCTTAAAAGAAACCATGTTAAATGGTAAAAAAACATTTTCTATTTTGAAATTGACTTTTTATGTTTTAAAATGACAGTTCTAGTTTGACAAGTGACATATTAAAGTATAAATTGATGTTTGTCAAGTTAATTATGATGAATTTTACTGAAAATTAACACGTCAAACGATAAAATACGTTTAAATTGACTTTTTAAGTTCTAAAATGACACTTCTAGTTTGACAAGTGACATATTAAAGTATAAATTGATGTTTGTCAAGTTAATTATGACGAATTTTATTAAAAATTAACATATCGAACGACAAAATACTTTTAAATTGACTTTTTAAGTTCTAAAATGACAGTTCTAGTTTGACAAGTGACATATCAAAGTCTAAATTGATGTTTGTCAAGTTAATTATGACGTATTCTGCTGAAAATTAATATGTCAAACGATTAAATACTTTTAAATTGAGTTTTTAAGTTCTAAAATGACAGTTCTAGTTTGACAAGTGACATATTAAAATATAAATCGATGTTTCTCAACTTAATTATGACGTATATCTCTTAAAAGAAGCCATGTTAAATGTTAAAAAGACATTTTGTATTTTGAAATTAACTTTTTATGTTTTGAAATGACAGTTTAAATTTGACAAGTGACGTTTTAAATTGAATAATTGCATTTGTCAACTTAATTACGACGAATTTTACTAAAAATTAACATGCCATACGATAAAATACTGTTAATTTGACTCTTTAAGTTCTAAAATGACAGTTCTAATTTGACAAGTGACATATTAAAGTACAAATCGCTGTTTGTTAACGTAATTATGACGTATATCTCTTAAAAGAAGCCATGTTAAATGTTAAAAAGATATTTTGTATTTTGAAATTAATTGTTTATGTTTTGAAATGACAGTTCAAGTTTGACAAGTGACGATTTAAATTGAATAATTGCATTTGTCAACTTAATTACGACGAATTTTTCTAAAAATTAACATGTCAAACGATAAAATACAGTTAATTTGACTCTTTAAGTTCTAAAATGACAGTTCTAATTTGACAAGTGACATATTAAAGTACAAATCGCTGTTTGTCAACGTAATTATGACGTATATCTCTTAAAAGAAGCCATGTTAAATGTTAAAAAGATATTTTGTATTTTGAAATTAATTTTTTATGTTTTGAAATGACAGTTCAAATTTGACAAGTGACGTTTTAAATTGAAAAATTATATTTGTCAACTTAATTACGACGAATTTTACCAAAAATTAACATGCCAACCGTTAAAATATTTTTAATTTGATATTTTAAGTTCTGAAATGACAGTAAAAACGATAAAAATTTGTTTTTAAAGTTAAAGTGACAGTTCAAGTTTGAAAAGTGACATATTAAAATACAGATTACTGTTTGTCATCTTAATTATGACGTATTTCGCTTAAAAGAAACCAGGTTAAATGTTAAAAAGACATTTTGTATTTTGAAATCGACTTTTTATGTTTTAAAATGACAGTTCTAGTTTGACAAGTGAGAGATTAAAGTATAACTTGATGTTTGTCAAGTTAATTATGACGAATTTTACAAAAAATTAACATGTCAAGCGATGAAATACTTTTAATTTGACTCTTTAAGTTCTAAAATGACAGTTCTAATTTGATAAGTGACATATTAAAATACAGATTACTGTTTGTCAACTTAATTATGACGTATTTCCCTTAAAAGAAGCCATGTTAAATGTTAAAAAGACATTTTGCATTTTGAAATTGACTTTTTATGTTTTAAATTGACAGTTCAAGTTTGACAAGTGACATATTAAAATACAAATTATCGTTTATCAGCTAAATTATGACGTATTTCGCTTAAAAGAAACCGTCTTAAATGTTAAAAAAACATTTTGTATTTTGAAATTGACTTTTTATGTTTTGAAATGTCAGTTCATGTTTGACAAGTGACATATTAAAATACAGATTATTGTTTGTCAACCTAATTATAACGTATTTCGTTTAAAAGAAACGAAGAAACGATAAAATTCATTTAATTTGACTCTTTAAATTCTAAAATGAAAGTTCTAATTTGACAAGTGACATATTAAAATACAGATTACTGTTTGTCAACTTAATTATGACGTATTTCCCTTAAAAGAAGCCATGTTAAATGTTAAAAACACATTTTGCATTTTGAAATTGATTTTTTGTTTTAAAATGACAGTTCAAATTTGACAAGTGACATATTAAAATACAAATTATCGTTTATCAGCTAAATTATGACGTATTTCGCTTAAAAGAAACCATCTTAAATGTTAAAAAAACATTTTGTATTTTGAAATTGACTTTTTATGTTTTGAAATGTCAGTTCAAGTTTGACAACTGACATATTAAAATACAGATTACTGTTTGTCAACTTAATTATAACGTATTTCGTTTAAAAGAAACGAAAAAACGATACAATTCATTTAATTTGACTCTTTAAGTTCTAAAATGACAGTTCTAATTTGACAAGTGACATATTAAAATACAGATTACTGTTTGTCAACTTAATTATGACGTATTTCCCTTAAAAGAAGCCATGTTAAATGTTAAAAAGACATTTTGTGTTTTGAAATTGATTTTTTATGTTTTGAAATGACAGTTCAAGTTTGACAAGTGACGTTTAAATTGAAAAATTATATTTGTCAATTTAATTACGACGAATTTTACTAAAAATTGACATGTCAAACGATGAAATACTTTTAAATTGACTTTTTAAGTTCTAAAATGACAGTTCTAGTTTGATAAGTGACATATTAAAGTATAAATTGATGTTTGTCAAGTTAATCATGACGAATTTTACTAAAAATTAACATGTCAAACGATGAAATACTTTTAAATTGACGTTTTAAGTTCTAAAATGACAGTTCTAGTTTGACAAGTGACGTATTAAAGTACAGATTACTATTTGTCAACTTAATTATGACGTATTTCGTTTAAAAGAAACGATGTTAAACGTTAAAATGACATTTTCTACTTTTAACTTTACTTTTTATGTTTTGAAATGACAGTTCAAGTTTGACAAGTGACGTTTTAAATTGAAAAATTGTATTTGTCAATTTAATTACGACGATTTTTACTAAAAATTAACATGTCAAACGAAAAAATACTGTTAATTTACATTTTAAGTCCTAAAATGACATTTCTAATTTGACAAGTGACATATTAAAATACAGATTACTATTTGTC